ACGCCTCGTCGGGGCGGGGGGGGGGGGGGAGTCGGCAGGTTCCCCTTGCCCGCCCCCCTCCCGCGTCGCCAATCAGCTCTTCCCTGCTCAGCTTCAGGGGGCACGGGGACCTCGCTTCCCACCCTCTCCGTGGGCGAGCCCCCCACCCCCGGCCGGGCTGCTGCGGAGGGCCACCCCCTGGCAGCGGTGGGGTTTGGGTTATGTCTGTTTGGAGGGGGCTGAAGGGTATTTGAGGAAGGGGGGGTTGGAGGCAAGGGGGGTGTTGGGGGGCTGGAAGGTATTTGAGGTGGGGAGGCGTTGCGGGGCTGGAAGGTAGTTGGGGAGGCAGGGGGTGTGGGGAGGCGTTGGGGGGCTGGAGGCTAGTTGGGGAGGCAGGGGGTGTGGGGAAGCCCTGGTCTAACTCCTCTCTGCGTCCCAGTCTAAAGACTTCTCGGGGAGAGGGGAGGGGAGGAGAGGGTCCTTCCTAAGTAATCTCTCTTCTTGTGCTTGAGAAAGTTGAGAGGGGAAGGAGGCGGCTCAGGGCCTTGTCTCTCCTGCGCAGGAACTGCCCTTGTCCCAGCAGCTGGGCTGCGAGCAGCTTCGTAGTAGTAGTAGTAATATTATTTTTGCCTACGTTGTGTGTGTGGAGCCTTTTCTTCCCTGACATGGTGCAAAGGCAGAGGGAGCAATGGCGACCTGACACACGGAGGGGCTGAGGAAGAGCAGGAGGCAGCCAAAGCGGGAAGGAAAAGGAGGTAGTAGCGGCTTCTTGCCCAGATCGCCAAGGGCCCATTTGTCCCCAGCAAAGACCCCTTTTCAGCACTTCTCGCTGTCCCCTCCAGCTGCACACACAGGGCAGCAAGTGGGGCTGGGAGGCTTCCTGTGGAGGGAATGCTTTAGGGATGTAAGAGGTGGGTGTGCTCGTAGGGTGGAGGGGTGTGTGTAAACAATGTGGAGGGGTGTGTTTAATAATCTGCCGTATGCTTGTAACTGAGTTATGTTCTCCCAAGATCAAGATGTTTCCTTTTAATAAATCCACATATATGCAGATGTGTGTCTGATCATCTTCCTTTTCTTGTTTTCTAGCTTTTTTCTGTATAACTGGGGTCAAGAGAAATCTTTGAGCTGGAATCCCTCAAATAACCTTCAAAGATGAAGGTAAGTTTGTCCAGGTTCTGAGATGAGGAGTAGGGGAAGCATTTGTGCTCTTTCTCTTCTCCCTGCACCAGTCACCTTATTGGTTTAATCAATGTATCTTTGTTGAACAACAGCAGAATAAAGTTGGCTGTGGAAATCGGCACAGGTTGAATGGAATGAAATCCCATTTCTTCTCTCTCACTGAAGGGCAGCTCATGCCAATCCCTCACCTATGCAGTAACACCACTTTGGAAACATAGGATGCCTTTGACTTGTTGTCATTTGGAGTACTATCTTTAAATGCTTCCTGTGTTGGCTGTAGCTTTTGTGAGTTTGCAAAACCACAGCTTTTGTCCTTCCTTAGCAGTTTCAGTTTTTCCAGAGCAAAGGCTTAACAATTGCAGGGTAAGTCACGTGGAGGGAAACACTTCTTAGATGCAGAGATGAGCAAGAAATAGTTCATTATTTGTGTTCATTATCAACACAAAATATTTCATTGCATGTATTGATTTCCTATTTTACTGTAGCTTGTTTTTTTAACATAGTAACTTGGCATAAGTTTATTGATCATTGTAAAAGTCAAATAAAGAAAATAAAATGTAAATTAATAATGCCCAGGTACACACTCAAATGTTCTTGAAAATGATAAACTTGCACATGTTTTGGGGGGAAAATAAATCTTAACAAAGACCTTTCAAGGAAGAAAAATAACATGTTTGAAAGATTACAGCAAACTTTTCTGTAGCTTTTTTGCTGTTTTTCCTTCAGAAAATCTGATGTAGAGAACACCATAGAACACTATAGAACACTTTTTTTTTTCATTGAAACAACAGAAATCTAAGATATTTTTAAGTACATAAAGGTTATGGTGATTGTATAAATTTTGAAATTGCAATTGTCTGAGATGCAGCTGCATTCAAAATTAAATATCACTTGCATATTGTATTGTTTATAGCAATGTATTGAACTTATCTTCATCCTTCTATTTCTTTCCCCCTCCGTTTGTAAGCATATGCTTCAATTCTCTTTGATGTTATTGAACTGGTATTTCTGAGACAACAGTCAGACTGATAAAATTGGGGAGGTGGGGTCAAGATTCCTGGAGCAAAACGTATATCAGTAAACTCAGTGTGGTGTAATCTTTTTAGCCAGCCCAATATGCTGAAATTTACTGGCAAAGCTGATTTATTTCTTTGGATCCTGATGATTTGTGTATGCTGCAAAATAGTGCTATAAACCATAACCATTGGCCCATTCTTACTCATTTTTCATCAGTTACTTAAGTTCCTTTAAAAAAAAAAGTTGCTATTTTAAATTGTATTTCTGCACTTAAATGACTATTAGTACATTCTTGCAAAAGGGGGACATGAAAAGAATTGCGTAGGAAAAATGTGTACCACTCACTTTTCTTACACTGTCTGTTTGAAGTTGTATGTTTTGTTTAGAAACAATTCCTGTGCAATGAAACTTTAAATATGGTTAAAATATTATACACAGCACCTTGGTAAAACTGTGTATATCTGGGGGGGAAAAACACTTTGCATGTTCCACAGACTTAATTGGAGCAAAATCAAGGTCCACTATTAGGAAAGAGTTGACGTTCTAGATTTTAGCATATGTCAGATCTTATTGTAAAGAAAGATTAGGCTGTCTGCAATATTGGGAAGCAACATAAATCATCATTTATGACCTAATTAAGAAATGGTCAATAGGACTAAAAGTTTGGGTATATATTTGAATATATGATGATGCAACTGTAAAGACAGTAATTATTATTATTTTAACAAAATACACTTTTGTAAAATATAAGACTAAACCTTATTCTAATTTATTCTTCTTTTGTTAGGCAGCAGATGAGCCTGCCTACCTGACAGTGGGAACTGATGTCAGTGCCAAGTACCGTGGTGCCTTTTGTGAGGCAAAGATTAAGACAGTGAAAAGGCTGGTGAAAGTCAAGGTAGGGTTAATGACATTAGTGCTATTGCTTTCCTTGTTTTTTTTATTAGTAAATATATTAAAAGGATTGTCAAGGAAAATCATACCCCTTAAAATTAGTGTGTGGTTATACAAAGTTGTAGACATTTCTTGGGAAGTATTTTTTTTTTTTAAGTAATTCTATATTGGTGCAATTATGTTTGTCATATCTAAACAAAATTCTTTTCAAGGGTACTAGCATAAAAATAATTCTTAAAATAAGTTTATCTGCTCTTGCTCCTTTATTTCTCATTTGCAGTTATAACCTCCTGTTTGTGACTATATCACTTCCGCAGTAATCAATGGCATAAATAGAGCATTATGGCTTTAGGTGAGCAATAAGAACTAGGAGCAAAGATTCTTCAGAAGCAAAGATTCTGTATCATGCAGACACCCTCAGTCTTTTATAGCTAGGAAGCAAAGAGGAGAGGAAAATTATTTCCATTGAACAGTTTTTCAGAATTGTCCATGAGATGGCTGTTAAATTTAAACAACTGTTTTAAAACTGTTTCAAAGCAGCAAGTTCTAGCTGTATGAAATTTCTGTGCAATGTCTTTCCGAGGCAAGGATTGTGCTAAAATTTAGTGTACGTTGATACAGGAGGAAACTTTTTATTGGTTTGGCATTCCTTCTAAATTGCTTTTTTTTCCTCCTTTTTTTAACACTCTTTTATAAAAGATGGAGATCAAGAATGAAACCGTCCAAACATACATGTTTACACAGCAGGCAGAGTAGATCCAAAAATTTACTTTCCACTTTGTTCCTACTTCCTACCTTCTAGCCTAGCATTCAGGACACTGTATATGAGCTACTACAGTGACAAAAAAATTAGATTAAATCAGTTCTTTTTTGGTACACATCTTAGTTTCTATTTTGTACTTTGGTTGTTCTGTTTGACCTATCCGTCTGGGTGCTTATATGGACCTCATCACTTTATATCAAAGTACCTTCCCTGAATTTCAAAACAAATCTTTTATGGGATTTTGGTGGCGCTTTTTAAAATCTGTTTGAATGAGGGTATTGTTGTGGAAAGCAGTGGTTTCCACCTTTTTGGTCTGCACCGGTCCACAGACTATTTAGATTATTTTTATATGTGAGTTTTTTCTCCTTAGATCATAGTTAGGGCCTTGAATACTCCACTGTACGATCCCTGGGATCTCTAATGTTGTTGCTGCTATCTCATTTACATTTTAAAATTTGACATTTTTAATTAGTTAAGCCTGATCTTGCAGTTAGGTGCGTGTGGGCACATCTTGTGCCTATGCCAAGTCCATTGAGTTCAGTAGGGCTTTTCACAAGCACATGGGTCCGCCTGCATGCACCTTAAATAAGAAAATGAATAATACATATGTCTTCATGTTCATGTTTTAGTGTACCACAGATTTTTATATTGACAAAGAATAACTATGTTGTATACATTTTTTGGGAGGAATTTGGAGAGTTTGGTAGATGCAAAGGGAGTAGTTTTGACTCTTGGCCACTGCAGAAATGTGGGAAGCATTTTGGAATTGTAGGATAAATGCATTAGCTAGATGTTTCTGTTAAAATGATCAGCAGTAAAATAATTAACAATGTTTACATCCTACATTCATCTTTAAGTTTCAAAGTTAACAGTCCATGGAAATGAATGACCCAGTTTACGTTTCTTAAAGTTCCTGTTTGCAGTCTCTCTGCAGGAAGTGGCAAACATCAAATCCATGGACCATTTTTGTGGATTGCAGATTGAAAATGGATGCAAATTTTATATCTAGAATCCTGGAAATCTGTGGATATCCACTTTATATCCGGGGATCATTTTTGTGGATCGGATGCAGATACAAATTTTGTATCCACACACAGGTCTACATATTTTCAAGGTTGTCTTCACAACCACGAGAGCTGAACCAATAACTTTTGTGGAAGGAAAACTTAGGTCTTATGTACACAGTAACTGGAATTAAAAAAACTTAATTGGTTTAAATTCACAACTTTAGTGTGTGTGTCTTTGTGTGGGCACTCTAAAGAATGTCCACATACTGACTTGTACCAAAATAACTAAAGGTGTGAATTACAACTGATTTTAGTTATTTTGGTTCCTGTTACCATGTAGACAAGCCCTCTGCAGCAAAGAGTAGATTCTGCAGGAAATTCTCTGCCCTGGAAATACAGTGGCTTTGTTAATAGTGAATGCTACAGATGATGTAAGAGAAGTATAACTCTTAAGCCTCTAGCCTAGTGGCCCATTGCAGGAAAAGCCAGGATTGTGTTATTGTCCAAGCTCATAATTGTATAAAAAATTGTACTTTTTTTTTTTATTGGTATGACTGAGATTTGATTTAGGTGAGATATCCTCTTAACTACTAACTGATTCATCAAATTGGATATTGAATGAATGGTATTTACTTGGTAATTCAGATGGCACCTGGGCTCCTTGTAAATTCAAACACTGTCATATTGTTTGTACTAAATAATGTTAGTGATTTTCACAGATAAGGGTTTGTATTTTTTAACTTTTTAGATGTTGTCATAAGGATTGTTGTGCATGCTTTTTGGAAGTATGAAAGTAAAATGTATATATGTGTTTCTAAAATATTTTTCAGGTGATCCTGAAACAGGATAACTCAGCTCAGTTAGTGCAAGATGACCAAGTAAAAGGACCTTTAAGAGTATGTATGCAGCATGTTTTTCAAATGTACAATTAAATTGTAATTATTTTAAATTTAGACACTTTAGACATTGACATTTAGACGTTGAGCATCTAAAGCACAGTCTGTTGAAGTCAATGGAAAAACTTCCATTGGCTTCGGATCAGGCCCTCAATGAGTAATTATCATTATTAGCTAATATTTTAGTTTATAAAAGATGTTTATCCCTATGCCTTTGACATAGTTAGTTTTGTATGGAAATGTTATTGCAGGTAAGACTATTTTTGTAAATACGTTAGACATAAATTGGGAAATGTCAACTATGTCAAGCAAAATGGGGGGAGGGATAGCTCAGTGGCTTGAGCATTGGCCTGCTAAACCCAGGGTTGTGAGTTCAATCCTTGAGGGGGCCACTTAAGGATCTGGGGCAAAATCAGTACTTGGTCCTGCTAGTGAAGGCAGGGGGCTGGACTCGATGACCTTTCAAGGTCCCTTCCAGTTCTAGGAGATAGGATATCTCCATTAATTTATTTATTTAAAATACAGACATTAGACAGGAGTAAGCAAGATGTATATTCAGTTCATTCAGGAGCTGCTAGAACAGGTGACTAATATAAAATACTCAATGCAGAAATGGCCTTACACTGGGTAGCCCTTATTTATTTGCTTGGGGTTTTTGCCTTTCCCTTGTCCTTACCTCCTCTGCTGCCACCTCAAAGGCACTAGTAAATGCTGTTGTCAAAATCTGGACCAAGTTCAGAAACTCTGTTGTATTGTCCAGTTGACAGTGAAGCGTATCTACTTGATGTTTGAGTTCAAAGAGTAAATATATGTAATAACACAGGCTTTATTTTTTTATCTTATACACAAATATACCACTACTAATACTGTTAAAGTGTTGGATTAGTGGTTTAGATCTAGAATTTGAATAAAATTTATGACTACTGCAGCAGCTGCACCTTTCCCCTTTGAACGTTGCAAATTGGCCCAGACGGTTACAGCACCCCTCAGGTTTGGTGTGTCCACCCCTCTGTATATAGAGACAGAGGGCCAAATTTGATTAGTGCTGTGACCACATGGGTCAGCTCACAACACTCAATGTGGGGAGATGAGCCCAGCCCCATAGGATAGGACCCATTGCTGTGGAGTGAGTGTGGGGTGGGCTCACTGTCCGAGCCCTCCATTCTCCCCCCATTTCCATGACATATCCTTGTTTTCTTGCACCTCTGCCATGATATTTATTATCATTTATAATAAAAATAAATGGTAGCCTTATCTTTTGTTATAATACAAAAGTCACAGTAGGGATCCCATTATGCTAATTTCACTGCCCACTGCTAACTAAAACCAACGCAGAATAAAATGTGATTTGGCTAATGATTTTTCACTTCGGAGGCTATGTAACCAATGCATGCATTTCACAAGGGTAGTGAAACTTAAATGAGTCTCTTCCCTGCCAACCCCTCCCCCCAAATCTTTCTGGAAGAATTGGTATGTTTATCTCCAATATATGAATCTGGGACTATAAGTGTATATAACATAATAATTTTGAAGTATTTTATATTGCAGGTTGGTGCAATGGTTGAAACCAAGATGCCTGATGGATCCTTTCAAGAAGCTGTTATCAACAAATTGACAGATGCCAGCTGGTATACTGTAGGTGAGTAACTATGTAACTTATGGGTTTTAGTGTTGGTACAATATATTGTTTTAAACTGGTCCATTGGTTTAAACTGGTTTTGTATTCAAGGCACAGGACAGGACTTAAGATCTGGCTCTGTTAGACTTTTGGTGTGACCTTTGGCAAATCACTTAACTCTCTTTCTGTTTCATCTCCATTTTACAACTAAGAAAACAATCATTGCATGCTTTATACAGGTGTTTGAGAGACAAGGTGGGTGAGGTAATACCTTTTATTGGACCCACTTCTGTTGGTGAGAGAGAGAAGTTTTCAAACTTACACAGAGCTCTTCACAGGTGTTGTAAGGATAAATTCATTGTCTGGTGCTCAAATAGTATAGTTATGAATGCCTATGGATTTTGATACCTTGCTTGTATGATCAAGCTTCAGTTGGACAAATAGATGCACATTGATTCAGGTTCACTTCTTGGAAGACAATATTGTTTAATTGCTATTTTGAAAGGACATACTTAAATCCCACTGCTGTCTGAAAAATTTGTTACCTACTGTTGTTACAAGTGACTACAAAGATTAGTGGAAAAAACATTCTGTATATTTCTAGTTTGTTTACATGTGATTTTAAGACTTTCTATAGAGAGAATTTCAATTGTTCCCCTGTATACTCAGTCATTTCTCCCTGTTTATGTGGTGGGTTGTGGGTGTTTTACACATTGCAGCTAGGGAGAAGAAAACATTCCTAAGCGAATAGAGAAGAGTGTAGTACCTTGAAACCATAATTTTACTCCTTTGTTTGAAATGATTACATTTCATTTTGACAGTGTTTCCTTTAAAGGAACTAAATCTTAAAAGGACATGTAGAAGAAGGTTTTGCTTTCATTTTAGGGACAGATAAGTGAGATGGTCATTGGAAATAAATCCAGTAAAATCATGACTAGTCACACAGAATGACGATTCAATGAAACTTGACATCAAGCCATAACTAGGTTCGTTGTAGAGATAACTTTATTTATTTTGGATTATTAATAAAAATGCATAGTCTGGTGTCTAGGTGTCTGACACAGTATTAAAAGTATAATGACATAAAAAAACTATCAGCTTCCCCTGAAATCAGAAAATAACTAACTAGAGATAGCAATCAAATAATACAATACTCACTCAAATCAAACATCCTTACAAATACCAGTCCTTATTGTGTGCCTCCCTCCCCCAGAAAAACTGGGGATAGTGAGGGTTGTATTTCCAGAGCTGTGTGTGTGGTGTGCACCTCTTTACTTAATAGAAACTGTACATATTTCTCCTATGTGTTGCTTTAGACATTAATTCTTGAATGCTTAAATTCACTGGTCCCATTTCCTTGTCTGTTACCTTTTGCAGTAGTAGTGATGAGATTATTGAATACTGAAGAATTTAAAGTAGAGTTTTTTACAGACTAGCGTTCACATGTCTATTATCTTAATTATGAATGTACTCATTTTCTTTGGAGACGAAGAAGCAATGGTTTAGCAGCCCGATTTGGTTTGCATTGAAATATACAGGGGTTTTCATGTTGACTTTAGTGGGAGCGGGATAGGGCCCTAGATGTCCATGATTTAGTACTTTGTTAATATAATTGTGATCCTATGGATCTGAGCCAGTTAGCTAATTTTAAGTTGTCCATCTACACTGCTATTTGTTTTCTGTTTCAGGAATGTAGCATAAGCTGGTGTAATTCAAGATGCATGACTCTAGTGTGTGTATGTGTGTGCGCACACGTGCATGTGTGTGCTTGCATGGTGAGGAGGAGTGTGGGGGAAGGAGTGATAATTTAGGAGTTTAGTTGTGGGAATTAGAGGAGTACTCATCAATTTAGTTCAATACTCTGATTCAACCTAGCAGGCAAAGGATACTGTTGACTTTTTAACTTTGATTTTTGTTGGCTTAGAGATTTTCTTTCCGATATTAAAGGAAGAAGGAAATAATCTGTTGCATTAACAGTGTTATACTTACTAAGTTGATATTTCTGTTCTAAACTCTTATTTTCAGATTAATTGATTTTTAATAAATCTGCATTTTGGGCTGTAACTATTTGTTTTGTCTTTGCCCCAGAAGAATCTAAGTTGGAAAACTGACCCTCCTGCCCCAATTCTCTTTCCCCCCCCCACCCCCCCACCCCCCCCCAAAAAGCGCTTAACAGAATTAGTTGATGTAAGTGGGAAAGGATTTTTTTGGCTGTCAAATTCTGCAGATGAGTTTTGCATGTGCATGTTTTCAAGTTCTTGGATATAACAACTCAAATTCAAAAATTTACTATGATGTGCAGATAGTTTTGAATAAGGAATATAAAAATTGGCCTAATTTAAAGAAATTTTTCCTGGAGTTAACAAATCACTGAACACTTACATCATACTGAGCATACATGGTATGATCCTTGCCTTTTTATGCATGTATGAAAGTGCAATGCTTCAAATAGACACATAGAATTGTATATTTAAAGGTATGCAAGTGGTTTCATTTATATATTTGTACTACCTGGTGCTTTAAATAAACATTGAGAAGGGAGGATTTACCAGGTAGAGCACAGCAAATGAATAAATTGCCTGCAGAGTGGGAACTCTTAAGTTTTTCTGCAGTGAAAGTTTTACTCCCCCTTAAATCTTCAACTTGTTACTTTAAACATAGGTGTATAAAAATGTTAGCCTTTTGGCATAATTCAGAACTCTGCCCTTTTTAGTACTTAGTTACATGTTATACTTACATAGAGTAATATAGAACACTAAATATATCTAAGGCTGTAAAAGAAAGCTCAAGTTTAAACATAATGCACTTTCAGTTTGTTTAGCTATGTTCCCTTGACTTAAGACCTTCTAAGTCCACTTTTGCAAGTAAATAATAATATGTAACGGGCAGGGTATGCATTTCTCAGTTTGCAAACCAGAGGTAAAATTGACCAAAGTGCATACATTGTGAAGTGTAGATTTCTAATAAAGAAGTTAGTTTACATTTAAAAATAGGGTGATTTTTTAGCTCAGGGAAATAGAAATGACATACAACCTTTCATCTCTCAGTCACCAGTTCCAATTTACTGTGGGTTAGTAGTGATCTAAAGATGATGTCTGTACAGTAACTTCTGTGCACTGAGTTGGACTCAGTTTCCTAGTGAATGGTTTTAAGCTATGATATTTAGCACCCTTGTTGGCTGTTTAAACAGATTGACCAAGAACTGGATGGACTTGGGGACCGAACAACCCTTTCACTTGTGGAGTCTACCAGATCCAGGTCAAGTTCCAGATCAGTGGTAGGGCCATGTGGGAAGCTTGCATTGAAATTATCAATGCTTTTCCAGTTCTGATTTATTTTCCTCTTACATGGCATCATTTTTTCCAATGATCTGAAAACACTTACGAAGGTAGGTAAGTATTAGCGCCTTTTGAAAGAACAGGACAGCTAATAAGACACATAGATTAAGGCAAAAATTGTCAAAAGTGTCCACTAACTGGGTGTGTCATTTTTCAGGTGTATGTTTTGAGACACTTAGTGCCTTTCTTTAAGCATCACTAGTTATTCTCAGCACATTTGAAAATCTAGACCCATGTTCAGATGGACACACACACACACACACACACACACACACACACACACACAAAATTAATGGACAGTTGAAACAATTTTGGCCTAAATTACTTGCCCAGTGTCCTAAAGTGAGCCAGTCCATTCTGAAAGTGCTCACTGTGTTCCAGCCTTAGTCTCTAGACTAGGCTACTTTGTTGCCCTAATCAGAGATAGTGGCCTTGATATTGATATAGCAACAATGAAGATAAAGCACTTTGTTTTTAGAAATAATTCTCTTAGCTATTAAAATGGTACTGCTCTGCTCTAAATTGATTAACAGGCTGTTCAAAAATGATCAAATGGAGTATTAGTTTAATAGTTTCTGTCATGGAGCCACCTCTGCATCAAAAATCCTGATCTAGTAATGATGGCACAGCCAAGAAACAGTGATGTTGGAATTTTAAACTGGGGCTTGGAAATGCTTTTGGAATTGGGCTGCTTACCCAAAAGTATAGATACAGAAAGAAACACAAGAGATCTGGGTCAAAGTTTAACAGGCTCTAGAAAACACCTCTTTTGCGCACAGCAGTCTTTTGTCACTCCTCAGTCTCATCATAAAGAAGTGGCAACAGTTCCAGTACCTTGGAAAACAAGCAGCTAACCTTAATTTTTAAAAAGCTCATTTTAAATAATTACAGATTTGGTGTTGCTCTGTTTTTGAAGAGAATTTATAGGCTCAGTATATGCAGTGTGTTACCACTAGGAGATAATTATATAGATTTAAACAGTCTTCAGCCTATCAGATTTGTTTTCATCCAAGTCATTTTGGAACTAAGGCTTATTTTTATAGTGTATTTGATCCACAATGTTCTCCAATATTAACTTGAATATTGAATATTGAAATAGGCCTCTGAAACAATAATAATAAAAAAATACACTATATGGTTCTATAGGTGTTTTGCAACAGCTGCCAAAGGCAACATTAAGATGATTATGATGAATTTTGGACCTAGCCCTGAACATTAAAAAATTATATCAAAAAAACATTTTGCAAGAGGAAACTTGTTTCTGTAAATGTGAAGTAGTAACAGAAGTTAAAAGCAGTGTCTTCGGGCACGTCTTCACTACCTGCCCGGATCGGCGGGTAGAAATTGATCTCTCAGGGATCGATTTATCGTGTCTCATCTAGACGCAATAAATCGATCCCTGAATCGACGCGCGTACTCCATCTCGTCAGGAGGAGTAAGCGGCGTCGATGGGGGAGCCGCGGCGGTCAATTTGCCGCCATCCTCACAGCGGGGTAAGTCGAATAGGATACTTCAGCTACGCTATTTGCGCATCTTACATCGACCCCACCCCGTAGAGTAGACCAGCCCTGAATATGAAAGACAATTTATTCTTGATCAGAGACCTCAGTGAAATGCTTTTGTACTCACTCTGTGTTGTGGTGTTGGCTTACCTTCAGGGTGTGCTCTTATGCATGCTCAGTT